AGAGGAAGGACTTATAATCGTAAAAATATCTGATAAGATTGTTTCTAAGAGATACCCAAAAAGTGAAAAGCGTAAATAACTACGTTCTCTTGAACAATTGATATTATAACAGCACCTATTTGAAGTTTACAACTCATTTTTATTGTGGACAGTTTATTTTGTTAAATTTTATTTGACGTTGCGTTCGATGAATTTTCAAGAACATAAATTAAATTGGTAGCTATTTAAAGTAAGAAGAGAGTAGTACAGTTGCAAGGGGAAGAAGAATAGAAACAGATGAATATGTGCAAATTGAACAGAAAAAGTTAATTGTTTGATGGTAACAGGTTTTTCGAGGAACGATATACCAAATGAATACCAAATTATTAACCAAATAACCAAATTATCTTGATAAAATGAGTTGACCTATAATAGAAACAACAATTATTTTTATTTTGCAGAATTAGCTATGTTTTAGTAAACTTGTATTCGAGCTATTGAAACTGAAGTTAGAAGTCCAGCCACGTTAATCATTCGGTCGCTCGCACTTTCTATGCACCTGTGTTCTTATATCATGTTTGTTTCTCAAAAATGTCACATTTTTGCAATAATACTGTCTCAAGATTACGTTTGAAATGCAATTTATGTAGTTTTGAGTGAAAAAATTTTCATCTGGAAACTCTCGATGCACTCTTACGCTCTTAAATATTATCAAATCTTCTAAGTACAACAGGCAGCATGCAAACTTTTATCTCATTGAACAAACACAGTTATCAAAAGAAAAATGTTCCGAAAACGAATGTCAAGCCGGTTTTTGTCAAAAAATATCATCGAAGGGTGAGAAAAATCTTCGAAGGTCACTCTTAATTTTTCTTAAGTAGAGTGGTTAACGAGAAAATTAGTCAACGTTATAACATGAACGACGTTGACCTACCGGTTTCCTGGGACACTGCCGAGTATTTTGGGTCTTAGACTGCCCAGTTACATTTTTCTAAGACTATCTCATATATCATTTTGTAGCTCGTGAAATTCTCTATCGAACGTTGTATAACAGTTGATATTTGCTCTGGTTGAAACAGGTTGAATGATGTAAATACTTTAAGTAAACGTCGTTTAACGCGAAAATAGTTTTTTCTGCTAAAAGGTTTTCAGGGGCGCTGAGAAGGATTTTTAAGATTTAAAAATATGATAGCGTTAATCGTGGACAAAAACTGCATCAGATGAGTTAACGTAAGACTGATTTGAGCGTGGACCGATTTTGCCTCTTATCGTCCCCCGTCCTTTAGAAAGTTTTCATTTTTTTCGTCTTTCGTATAATTTGCATAGTTTTCTTGATTGAAGTTCTGAAATCAAAGTTTAAGTATGGTTTTGTAAAGTGCTTTCATCCACCACAAACAACTGTTATACATACATCCACAGCCACAGCCAAGAGTGATTCGGAAAGTTTATAAAAGTTACGATGATGTAGATCAAGACTATTATTATGATGATTCGGATTATGCCTGTGAACCTGTTCGATATGTTCAACGACCTAGTCCTCGACGACAAGTTGTCGACAAAAAGAAGAATTTACGTCAATAACACTGATTATGATTATGATTGTGACGATGATGAGATTGAGTATGTTGTCGAAGAAAAACTACGACCCGTCAAGGTAAAAAGCACATTTTTTTTATCATTTATTTTCAATAAACTATAATCATTTTAGTATGTTCAACGTCCAATTCGACGCGCCGTCTATGTGTTAGAAGACGATGAACCTCCACAACAGCCACAACCTTCACCTCGTCCACAATCAAAAACAATTCTTCGTCAGAATGCTAAACCTGTCACTATTCGTCGATACACTATCAGAACACTCGTGGATAATCCAGTTCCACCTGCTCCAGCTAAAATTCAGTCAAATGATCATACATATGTACGAGCAATGGATATCATTTTGGTTAATCGAGCAAAACGTGGTTGGAAATTACCAAAACCAAAACGCGAAGTACCCATTGGAACTTTTAAATAATTTTAAATTAATGCACACTAATTTCTGACCGAAAAAAAGATGAAAAATTACTTCACATCAATTTACGAGGCCAAATTAATTTAAATTCGTTTGTACTAAATTAATTTACATCAATTTCGCAGTTAAAATGAACTAGAATTAATTTCTACGCTAAAATTAGCTCCAATTAGTTTGAGAAAACATTAATTTAAATTAGTTTTAACTGAACTGGTTTGAATTAATTTATTTCGAATGAGTTCGAGATAATTTCGTGGTTTAAATTACTTCAAATTAATTTCTACTCTCAAATTCATTTAAATAAATGTTTTTGTAACAGATTTGGAATAATTTCGATAATATAAATTAGTTTTAATTAATTTTGAGAGTCGAAATTAATGTAGATAAGTTTGAAATAATGTGTATATTGGATCGAGATTTTTTACGCAAAAAATCTTCCTGGACACATAGACTTGCCATAGCCAAATGGTAGAAATCCAGTTGAACCGATTTTTTCTTGTTCCAATTCTAAATTTGCTAGCATTTGTTGATTGGCCAGAAAACGATCATATTCAATTTTTAACGGATATAGACGATGATCGTAATGGCAGTCATTGGATAAACACTTCCCGCCCATTAAAGGATACAGTTAATAATATCAACAGTAAAGTAAAGAAGTCAAGAATTTTAATTAGTCTTACTACTAAAGTCCACGTTTTGATAACAATTTTTCTAGTGCTAAAAACCTTGTCGTTATTATCTATTTGCTTTTACCTTTTACTGCAAGCAGAAAACAAAACACACATGGTTATTTTCACAAAACTATCGGCAGAAAAGAAACATATAACATGCAAGCAGAGTATTGAGGACACATGTAATCACAACCGATTTAAGAAAGGAACAGAAATCGAGATAAAAAAGACTTGACATATACAACTAAGAACAGGACTACTTGAAAGTAACCATCTTTCTTTTGGTTTATGTAAGACTAATAAAAATGGTTGACTTTTTTACTTTACTGTTCATATTATTAACTGTATTAGTTCTTGTTTCATTTGTATTGGTCAAGAACAAAAAGAAAAATGTCATTAACCAATCGATTCCAGTTGTTTCCAATTGTTATCCAATTATTGGCCATCTTCTATCGTTCATATTTAATCAGACAAAGTTTGTTTTTGATTGTCGTCAGCGGTATGGATCAGTATTCCAAATTAAATTGCTATCAAAACGGATGACCTTCATAACAGATCCACGTGATTGGTCAGCAGTTTATCGAAATTCAGATTTCTATTTACCATCTGACGATCTTGCGATGAAAATATTTGGTATGAGTGCAAACAGTTTTACTCATAAAGGATTGTATGATGAAAAACATCGACTGTACACCAGGTATTTACAAAGTAATGGTGTCAATGGATTAACACAACAATTCGTTAAATATCTTCGACAGTCGATGTCAAACGATAAAGCGACATTTGAGAATGGGCAATGGAAATATTCTGGTCTGTTAGAATTAAGTCACTTTATGGTTTACGAAGCAACAACTCGAGCATTGTTTGGTGATATAAAACCATTAGAATTTGAAAAACAATTTAAAACCTTTGATAAAAATATTCATTATTTTTTCGAAGACTTCCCAAACTTTATTTACACTTTATTTTTTTCAAAAGCACTGAAAGCACGTCAGTCCTTAAGGAAAATACTTTCATTAAACCTACATTGTAATGATGAAAGTGAACTTATAAAACATCGTGTAGATTTAATACAAGCTCATCCGGAATTCTTTTCAAACAACGATGTTGGTTCGGCAAATCTTGAAATGTGTTGGGCGGCAGTTGGCAATTCAGTTCCAGCTACCTTTTGGTCATTGTACTATATTCTACGCGATCAAAAAGCACTTGACGATATTCAACAAGAAATTCAACTCTATTTACCGGATAATGAATTATGGACATCAGAAATGTTAGCGAAATGTTCCAAACTGGATAGTGCAATAACTGAAACTATACGAATGGCTTCTGATGCAATAATGTTAAAATATTGTCGTAATCAAACACATATTCAGTTACATGATCAACGTCAATTGACAATTCAAAAAGGAGATGCAATTTCTCTATATCCAATGGTATGCCATTACGAACATCGTCTATATCCCGAACCATTTAAATTTAAATATGATCGTTTTCTGGCCAATCAACAAATGCTAGCAAATTTAGAATTGGAACAAGAAAAAATCGGTTCAATTGGATTTCTGCCATTTGGCTATGGCAAGTCTATGTGTCCAGGAAGATTTTTTGCTCGAAATCAAATGAAAATATGCACAGCAATAATACTGAAATATATTGAATACGAATTTATTAACTTGAATGATGAGCCCGAACGGAGTCGATACCGTGTCGGTGTTGGTGTTGCACTACCTGAACATGATATTCCGATACGTTATAAATATAAATCATTTTCTGTCATAGATGACTGATGATTTTCAATCGGAATATGATATTTTCAATTAAGACGAATCAGAATTACTTTACTTACTACTTTTTAAAGTCGAGAGCCGTCATCTTTGATCGGTGATGTCGGCGTGTCTTTTCCGCTCTGTTCTTTCATTTCCAGTCTAAATTTTGCTATTGGTTACTCAACAATTTTCGAAGAAGAGTTCTTATGCTTAATTTACTCAACCGTTTAATTAACCATCTTTGAACATTCTCAACTTTAATGGTGAGATCTCTTGACACAAAAACACTTGACCATCCATCTTTTAGGAGCTGAAAGTAACATAAAAGTTGTATATAAGAAGTTGCTTGAAAGATGAACGAATTTCGTAAAAATCAAATAAGGTCGGAATCCTGAACGGATCAGGCTTTCTGTTCACCCGAAACAGATATGTACAATTAATTACATGCCAAATTTATACAAGTTGCGTCTAAAATGTACTTCAAGACAATTTGAAGTACACAAACTATACTCTATGTCGAGCTACTTTTTACAAAAGGGTACAGTATACTTTTTGAGATACAAAGCTGTCGATATCGCTGTCAATACACCTTCTGTGTGCATACAGAAATAGATATAAAGCACGGATCCAAACTACTCCAGGACCTCCGGCTCGGGCCCAAGTTTTCCCTCTAGTCTCTGTCGGGATAAAGCGTAATAAAGCCTAGTGCTCAGCAGGACGTCATAGTGCTAAGCAGTATGAATTGAGATTACAGTACAGTTACAGCGTTCTGCTCAGCAGGACGTCATAGTCTGTTTATACTGCTGAGCACTACGTTTTAATCTAAATGCGTACTGCTGAGCACTACGCAGTAAGCCACCTATTTATAGAAATACAGCTAGGCACCGGACCGAAGGTGCGCTTTGACGGGTCGGATCCCGGTTCTTTCCTTGCTTTCGGTGCAAATTGATTAAGACCATACGGGGATGCAAGCCCTCAGTACGGAATAAGCCTTTTTAGGTCATGCTTGGGACCAAAAATGA